CAAATGAGAATAATACCTGCCCTATCTACCTTACCTAATTTTTGTGAGAATGAAATGAAGTCACATTCCTGTAAACTCTTTGAAAAATTAAATGTGTTATACAAACGCAGGGTAAAATTATTATGATTACAGAAGCCATTTTTCACATGAAGTTCCTTACTCTTAGCCTGATTTGTTTTGTCCACATTGTAAAATCCCTAGATGGTAAGCCCTAAAAAAGCAAGAAAAAAAATCTTATTCATCTTTTAGCACCCATAGCAACTGCCACCGTACGCTATACATTACAGGGAGCTTTATGTCATATTCATAGGATCAGACTTAAAGGAGGAAGGGACCTAAAAGTCTATCTAGGGTTATCCCCCTTCATTTGACAGTTAAGGAAACTAAGGAAGATTAAGTAATTTGTCCAAGGTCACATAGGTAGTAATTGACAGAATCAGGATCTGAACACTGATTCTCTGGCTCCAGGACCAGTGTTCTTGCCACTGTACCATTTATGATTCATGAATAAATTAAATTCAACAAACATTTATCAGTCATCTACCATGTGTAAAGTACTATACTAGGCACTAGAGATTCAGAAGTGAAAAGACTATTTGTTCGCCAAATGTTCCATCTCCCAACCTTGTAAATTTGTTGAATCAGCTGTTCTCCATTCCTAAAATTCACTCCCTCTTCACCTTCTCCTTTCAGAATCCTTGTCTTTCTTCAAGATCCAGCTCAGGTGCCTCTTCCTCCATGAAGCCTTCCTTTATCTCTCCAGTTATTAGCACCTGCTCCCTCCTCAGTTTTCATTCTCACTACCACCCTGCTTATCCCATTCCCCTAGAGGACATAAGCTCTTTGAGGGGAATGTTTTTATATGTGTCTATGTACCCCCAGAATCCATCATACTGTTCTTTAACACATAGTGACTGCACAATTAAATATTGTTAATTGAATTTAATTAAAGGTAGAGTCCCCTCCCCTCAGGGAACTTCTTATCTGGAAAAATGAATTCATGATCTTCATAAAATTGAGTCTCCAGCTAAAAATCAAAAACACAAACAGGTAAAGGATGCTACTAGAATAAATAACATCTGCGTCATACTGCTAAATTAGTTGTAATCTTGCAAAAATGTTTTTTCCTCACTTTAGAAATGCAATTGTTACCGATAGTGATGTCCCAACCCCAAGAAGTGTCACCATGGCAAAGGCTACCATAGAACAGTCTTCCCAGATTTGTGCTGCCAATCATTGGGAAGCTTTGTTCTGATGTAACCAGTCCAAGAGAAAGGGGCTTCATTTCCTTCCTAATGAAAAACAAAAGTCACTCACTTCAGCAAAAGTTTTGCCTTTGGAAGACCACAGAATTAAGCTATAAATAAATTACTAGGTAACCGGGAAAAGAGTACAATCTACTCTCACAAGGACAAATAAGAGAATAGAAAAACCATGCTCCTGCTATCTTTAATAATAACAACTATAAAAAAAAATCATATTTTTCTCCTCCCACACACAACTACAAGCCAGCCAAGCACACATTCTCCAAACCCTTTACCATGAAAAAAAAAACTCATATCAAAGTCTGTATTCCTATTCAATTTAAATTGTGGTTGCTTGTGGGAGAGAGAGAGAGGGAAAAAAAAGAAAAACAGTGAACACATTTTTATAAAAGAACTGTGGTTAAGGTCAAAGCCCTCCATTGCCCAAGCTAAATTTTATGTCTTTCAAAATCTGTTAAAAGCAAGCAAGGCTCATGGGGAAGTTCCCCACATTCCAATAGCCTTCTGGATGTCCTACTGGCCTTTGGGTGCTAAAAGGAAAACTAAAGGAGGCAATATGAAAAGACACGAGGTCATGTAAAATATACATACAAACACACACATACATACACACATACACACACACGGACAGAGCTTTTATGCCACCATGATCCCAGAAGTAATAGGAAAAAAATGTTTTAACTTTTTACTTCCCATTCTGTAAAAGCAATGAAAGCATTTTTCCATAATAAAAAAGAAAATAATGAGGGAAAAGAAAGATAATGTCCAGCATCATTCTTTCAGTGGACAAAAGAAAGGAATTTTTAAAAAATATTGAAGTGTTAACTTTTAAAAAGTGAACCTCTCTTTGAAACGGATGACACTCCAAAGGAGAGGGATTCAATCCTACTCAAATTCTTTCTGTGTTGGAAATGCTGGGGTTAAGTTTTATTGCCTAACAGATAGGCTACAGCAAAAAAGAGCTGTAACAACACTTCATGGCAGCATCCATCAGAAGGTCACTGCTCATTCTCTAAAGTGCTATGACTTTCATTTCTGCAACTTTAATACACACCATTTATGAAATGATGGCCATTGTCATTGCTGGCCCCATGTCCACACAGAATAGCCTCATTACTTATGATGGCACTCTCAGAGCTCTAGGTCAGATAGCAGAACAGCTGAAGAAACTCTAATCACCTAAATTTTGAGTCCATTGACGAAAGAGCATTCTACACAGTACCACCACTAGTCAGATGATTGCTTTTCCGACTCTTGCATAATATAAGCAGGCCTGTACATTTATTTGACTGTGGTTGAATTTAGTTTGGCTTTGTAGGGGTGGTGAGAAGGATATCAGTATGGCCACTCACACAATAATAAAGTCTGGGTCACAGTAAGATATCTAGTGAATGAAAAATACTTGTGTGGCATGAGAGACAGCTTCTTTTATTTGGCAACTAAATAACCTATAAGGAAGTTTTCTTTTTTTTTGTTTTGTTTTTTGGTGAGGCAATCAGGGTTAAGTGACTTGCCCAAGGTCACACAGCTAGTAAATATCATGTGTCTGGGGTTGAATTTCAACTCAGCTCCTCCTGACTCCAGGGCCAGTACTCTATCTACTGTGCCACCTATCTGCCCCAGAAGTTTTCTAATACTACTCAGGCCTCCTGAAGTGCCAGTAAGAGTAGGCAAAGGCTTACTTTGGATATTATTTTTTTGTCTTTTTTTTTTTGGTTGGCCTGCTAATGAATACGTTTATATTAACTTCTTGAAAGCTATCAGATTTAAGTATTACCACTGGATAATATCTACTGATATTTATTAAATAATATATTGATTAAATAAAACCTTTGGGAATATGATGTGGTTGTGGTTTAAACACTTATTAAATAGAAGTTGAGAATACTGGAAGAACATATCCTTAATTGCCAAAGACAGAATCATAAGAAATCAGTACTATGCTTATCTCACTAAACACTCCCTAACGCAGTAAAGCAGTTCTTATGTTCAGCTGAAATTATTTTTAAAATGAGACTGATATTGTCACAGTGTTATTATGGAACTGTCAAGAAGTTATCAGCTCTGGAATCAAATGTCCTAGATTCATATCCCATCTCTACCTTCGTAAACCTTGAGTGAGTCAGTCCTCAGTTTCCTCCTTTGTAAAATGAAAAGGTTAGACTAAATGGCCTTTAAGATTCCATACAGCTCTAAATCTGAGATTATATGTTCATTCTCCAGATATTAATATTAGTATCAGCAATATGTTTACTGCCAACAGCTGGGATTTGACTGGCTTGGCTGGTATCTTTAACATGGAAGTTGATTTTCTTCTTGAGGTGTTGTGAAATACATGGATTTTTTTTTTATTTTTGATTTTTATAAAACTAAGTATACCTGTTTCTGATGTTTTGGGATTGGCATTTGCGTATTGTGGGTAAGAACTTTAAGAAAGATTTAGTGGTGTGCATTTTATCCATCAAATTCTGTTTCACGATGAGCAGGCAGGTTTCAGAAAAATCTGAAAACACTTACATGAACAGAAGCAAAGTGAAGTAAGCAGAACCAGGAGAACATTATACATAGTAGCAGCAATACTGTGCGATGATCAACTGTGAATTTCTTAGCTATTCTTAGCAATACAATGATTGAAGACAATTCCACAGGACTTATGATGAAGCATGCTATCCACCTCCAGAGAAAGAACTGATGGAGTCTGAATGCGGATCAAAGCATGCCATTTTTCGCTTTCTATATTTTTGTGGGTTCTTTTTTGTTTTGACTCTATGTCTTCTTTCACAACATGACTAATATGGTAATACATTTATCATGATTGAACACATATAAACCTATATCAAATTGCTTACTGTCTCAGGAAGGGGGGAGGTGAGAGAGAGAAAACTTGGAACTCAAAAATTCTTTTAAATGAATGTTTAAAATTGTGTTTCCATGTAACTGGAAAAAAATAAAATATCATTTATTTATTAAGTTCTATTTCCAAATAAATGAAATATTTTGCTTTTATTTGAAGGGTGAAGAGGTTTAGTCCAGACCTCCGATTTCATTGGCATAGTGAACTTCTTTTTGAAGTGAAAAATCTGCTCACCAATGCTTTTCAGCAGCTATCTGTGACTTATCATTTTAGAGTTGCCAGGAGCACTGAACTCAGTTCAGTTTTTTACCTCTAGTCACATCATGTGTGTTAGAGGCAGAGCTTGAATACAGGCCTTCCTGATGCTAAGGTCAGAAATCCATCCATCTGTGCATTTTCAATTGCCTCTTTAATGAAACATAGAGATAGTTGAAAATCCATTCCCGCTTGACTACTTCCGGTGCTTGAAAGCCCCATAATGAGTGACAGAAAGGAAGAAAAAATAGGTACAGGAAAAAAAAGTAAACACGTGAAATCAGATGGAGAAAAGAACACTAGATTAATTTCCACGATTTCAGGCCATGAGGCAGAATTCTTGGGGAAGCCAGGTAGAGCTATCCTCCACCCACTGGAAAAGTACAAGCATGGAGACTGCCTCACAGTACCCCTGGCGGATCCTTGTCTGTCCTCTGAGATGTCCTGGCCCTGTTCACCCTTTAGAAGTAGCCCTCCTCCAGAATGGATATGGTGGCCAAAGGACAGAACTTCTGTAACTCCAGCCACCATTTACTAGGCTGCCTAAATAATCGCCTTGCCAGACCTTGTTACTTCATACATTTGGGGAAATGACCAAATATACCTTTCCCATTGTTCTTTTCCAGGATATCCAATGAACACTCCCCAAAACTCCAGATCCGGAGCCACAGTTACCTGAGGGCGGTGAGCGAAGTCTCGATCAATAGGAGCTTGGATAGCCTGGATCCTGCAGGACTTCTCACTTCACCAAAATTCCGCTCTAGGAATGAGAGCTACATGAGAGCCATGAGCACAATCAGCCAGGTGAGCTGGAGGCTCAGGGAAGGGCTCCATTTTCTTCCCAGATAACTCCCTACAATGTTGCAGGATCTGTGAAGAGGTCACCTCTGGGGCAATGGGATAAAACAAGACCCTTTTTCAAAATTTTGCTTTGTTGGTGTTATTCAGTCATGTCTGATTCTTCTTGACCCACAAACCATACTTTCCATGGGAGTTTTCTTGGCAAAGATACTGGAGTGGTTTGCCATTTCCTTCTCCAGTAGAATGAGGCAAACAGGGTTTAATCGACTTGCCTAGGGTCACACAGCTAGTAAGTGTCTGAGGCTCCATTTGAACTCAAGTCTTTCTGACTCCAGGCCCAGCACTCTATCCACTGAGCCATCTACCTCCCTCCCAAATTTTGCTTACTAACCTAGAATTTCAATGTATACCACTAATTTAAATTATACTTTAAATTCTCATACAAAAAATGAACACTTATTTCTCTTTGACCTGCTTCTTATTTCAGGTACCTCTTTGCAAAAGAATAATTTTTGAACATGTTGAGAAAGACAATTAAAATTCAATAAGGAATTATTGAATGCCTTCCATAGGCGCAATACTAATACATAAACCTGGGAACTGGGAAAAATACAAGAGAAGTGCCTGTCACATTCCTTGTCCTCAACACATTTACAATCTAGTTGGGGGCAGAAAAGTTGTGTATGGGAAACCATTAAGGGATAATAGAAAACACAATAGAAATAAGACCCTCCCCTCAAAAGTTCAGGACAAATAATAGTGCATTGGACTTCAAAAAGTAGAAAGATCAATGCAGACGAGAATAATCAGAGAGGGCATTGTTGGGGTGGGGGATGACTCAATATGAGCTTTGAAGGACAGGTAGAATTTGGATTGGGAAAAGAAGGTGAAAGGAATTCCAGACCAGAGAAAGGGCATAAACCAAGTTTAAAATGAACAGAATGTGTTGGGATACGATGAGTGAGCTGATCTAACAACAGTTAGGGATACAATATTAAGGATGCCTTACTTTTCTCTTTCATGAGATAAGAAATTAGAGCCACTGAAAGTCAATACAGATTCAGAGTGAGGACAAAGTAATGAGGAAGGGGAACGAAGGAAGATGGGGAAGAAGGAGAGAGTTGGGGGAGGGTGGAGACAGACAAATGAGAGAGAGAGAGAGAGAGAGAGAGAGAGAGAGAGAGAGAGAGAGAGAGAGAGAGAGAGAGAGAGAGAGAGAAGTAGGTGATGGACTGGTAGCAACTCAGCACTGAAAGCAGATCCTTTAAAAGCAAATTAGTTTCAGTGAGACTGCACAGTTCCCTCGCTGTGTCCCCCTGTCATCTGAGATGGGAGCATCCAAACAAGGGATCATGAGGCAAAGCTAGGAGGACAACAGAAAGGACCCAAGAACAGCAGTGGAGAAAAGAGCCAAGAAAGCCTTCATAGGCAAGGTGCCTACATAAGCTGCCTTATTCATGTATTATAGGATTTGCTGAACTAAAATATTGTAACATTATCTATTTATTCAATAAGGCTCCATTTATACTAACCAACTAACATTAGCCAAGATATTTTGTCTTGTCTATCGTTAGCTTGATGGATAACATCTCCTTCCAAGCTATACCAAACTTTCAGTATAATATGGAGGCAATTTATAAGTATATTTTGTTTTTGTTTTCTATGTATAGTAAAATATTAATGTCATTTAAATATTTTTAGTAGGTACAACATAATGGGCAGACATAATCTAAAGCTGTCTAAACCTAGTTGGCATACCTGCAAAATACATCAGCAATTTTAGGAAATTTTACTCAGAAAACATTTTTGCATTTATATGACTCAACTCTGACTACATTACTATATTTAGAGCATTGGATTTTTTTTTCCCCATAAAGAAAAATAGGCAATTTCCCCTAGGACACATTAGCCATACCATCTACTGCTATAATCTCATAAGCTATTATTCCTGACCTTACTATGGGCAGTATTTTCCCCTCAGGTAACATGTTAATGAGACATCAAGGAAATGATGTTGTTGAGATACATAGTGTATGTGAAGTTGGACCTTGACAGGCTCTACAATGCAATCACATAATCATTTGTGCCACAAATAATATAGAGGAAAAGGGCCCATCCTAAATGCACCCCAGATGGTAAATGATTCTTACAGTCATATTTAGTTTTCAAACAAACCAACGACTTTATAAATGATTTTATTGTTTTCCTTCTTAGTTGTGACATCTCCATTAAGCATTGGGAGGATGATTGCCCTGTGAAAGTCCTTATGCCTAAAATTATGCTGGGCACCCAGTAGGCACATTAATAAGTAGCTGGGTTTCTAGGATGATAGATCCTCAACACTTATCCTTAAAATATTACAAATTTACTACCAGCAATAGCAGTATAGCATTCAATTGCATTTTATTCTATTTTCTTTGGCATACCAGTATCCAACTACTCTGAGGAATCATAAGTCAAGAAATTGGTCTAGAATAACTGATTATTTGTTTTCTACATCAATACCTCATAAAAATAAAATGTTTCTGAAAATACACTGTTTAGCAAATGACCAAAACACATACACATACTCACTAACACACTATAACTTTTATCCAAACAAAAGAATTTATTTGGACTAAATATTTGGGTAGTCATCTCTGGCCATGGTCCAAACCAAACTAGGCCCTGGTTTAGTGCTTTATTTTCTAGTGTTTTCTTGTCTGTCAAAAACAAGAAATGTTAGCTTGTGAAGTGAAAAGAATAGATGCTAGTGAAAAAAAGTGTTATGTAACATCCACCATTTTCCAATTAAAAGCTGTTTTTGTTTCTTCCTACAATGTTTAGTATCAGAACTTTCAAGGATATATATCCTGGACTGGCCAAGGGAGTTGGGGGAGGGGGGTAGGAGGAGAACCCTTTATTTCATCTGCCCCAAGGCCACTGAGAACTACTTGAGCAGTAGGTATACCTGTGCCTTCAGTTTAAGGGGGTAAGAGGAAATCGCATACTGAGAAACTTTATGATTTTGTGATTACAGAAGGCACCAAACAATGAAAACCTAAGAAAGAAATCTGGAGGAAGCAAATGAAAGATCAGAAAACACATTATAAGAAACTGGAGTGAGAAAAGTTTTATTCCAGGGTATGAAAATATTGCAATTAATAATACATGCCTATAAGGAGGACCTGAGTTCAAAAACAGCCTCAGATACATGATACTCACTAGCTATGTGACCCTAGGCAAGTCACTTAATCCCGATTGCCTCACCAAAAATAATAATAATAATAATAAATAATAAATTTTAAAAATAAGATATACCTATAGCCCCCAAACACAAAGTAAGTCCCTTCCTCTAAATGGTGACTTGTCCAAATCAAATACCTCCCATACCTGGAGATGACAAAATGTGTGTGCTGTGCTATTTAACAAGGAACCAGAATCTGAGGATTCTCAAATAGTTGGCAGAGGGAGAGAAGAACAATATCTGGGATCACAGGATCACTCAGGGTTCAGTCTTTTTCTATGAAGAGGTATTTAATTATGTTCCTTCCTTTAAAGAATGAAAATGGTTACCTCCGCTTTTCACAAAATCCTAGAATTTGAGAGTTGGAAAGAACTTCAGCAACAGTTCCATTCCCAACCCATACACGAAGGAATCTCCACTATAACATGCCCAAGGTCATCCAGCCTTACCTGAAGACCTCCAAGGGTGGTCTTCCCTCTTTTTCCCTCTTTCAAGGGGAGTGTACTAAATATTCAGAATCGAAGGTTTTCCAAAGTTTGCATTGTTTGGTGTTGTTTGTCCTTTCTTCCAGAAGAGGACCAATGACTTCAGGAAGAAGATGTCTTGATTTGCAAGTAAATTGGATTTAAGTGAGGTAGAGCTATGCAAAGTCACCAGCTTAACTCTCTACTCCAGGGTCATCTGAGTCTAACGGCAAGACATAGATCAGCATGACTAGAGATGACCCCAGATGAGGGGGAGACTTTGGCCTTTTTTTTCTTTTCCTCACTTATATATTCTAGCATTTGAAAAAAAAACTGGGACAAGTAACCCTTCTCTCCCATGTAGTTTCATTTATGATTTCTTGAAATAGAGCACTGGAAAATCAGACTTTGATAAAGCCCATTGGTATTCAGATAGAGCTACTTGACCATGCCTTAAACCTAAATCACTCTGGCTCTCACTGATTGACCAATAATAGGTCCCAGCCTAAGCCTCACTTGATCATTGTTTGGGTTTTGATAGCTCAGAAAGAGTGTAGATAGCAATTGTACTTGGAGGGTCTTCCCCTCCCAGTTTGATTTTTTTTTTTTGAGTAGGCAAACTGAGCCATCTTTTGCTTCATTTCTTACCTAGCCTTAAATGACTGAATGAGTGTTGCCTCAGGTAAATTGAGACCTGGGAAAGACCTTAGCTTAAAAAGGGCAAGTTTTCCCACTATATCTGGGCTCTTCTCCAGTCATCCTGATCTATGTCTTGCCATTGGTCTCAAATGACCCTGGAGTAAAGAGTGAGGCTGATGACTTTGCACAGCCCTGCCTCACTTAAACCCAATTCACTTTCGAGTAAAGACATCAGCCTACTGATGTCACTAGTCCTCTTCAAGAATGAAAGACAAATCACCAAAATAAACAAATAGATAGATAGATAGATAGATAGATAGATAGATAGATAGATAGATAGATAGATAGATAGAAAGTGGGGCAGCTAGGTGGCGCAGTGGATAGAGCACCAGCCCTGCAGTCAGGAGGTCCTGAGTTCAAATCCAGCCTCATACACATAACACTCACTACTTGTGTCACCCCAGGCAAGTCACTTAACTCCAACTGCCTCACCAAAAATAAATAAGCAAAGAATGAAGGACAAACAACAAGTTTGCATAATAAATTCAAGGGCTCAGGTCTTGTCATCTATTCTCATTCACCAAGAAAGTCAAGTTGAAGATATATGCAAATGCCTCCGCCTTCCTGAATATGTGTGTCTATAGACAAGAAAATGCCATATGAAGGTCACACAAAATATCTTGCTGGGCCCCATTTCAAAGCCTGACTTCCCTCACCCTCCATCCTCACTGCTGCTTCAAGGAGCATATTATATTTAAAACTTTTAACTTACCATAACTTTGTTTTTCATGATTCTCCCTATGAAAATCGCTATGCCAGCAATTGTGCTGTATACCTACTATTTACCAAAAGCATACAGTACAGAATCAACTAGCATTAAATATCCCTTGTATCTATCTCTCCCTCACCTCCTTTCTCTCCTATTCTTTCCTCAATCCCTTCCTCCTCCTCTTTTTTCTTCCTCTCCTTTCCCCTTCATCCTCTCTCCCTTTTACATTCTTCCATGCTTTCATTTCACTATTTAAGGGATCTATAATTTCATTAGTCCTCTCCCTGTTGCGGGTTGAGAGGTTGTGACCGCTCAAAGACTAGAGTACAGGATGGGCCATCTGGAAGGAATTCACAGACTCAAGCATTCTTTAATTCAAGGTGGCAAAGATTTATTGTTACGCTTTTCAGCGGGCAAGGATTCTTAAAGGATCCTGCAACCTTAGAGAGGTACAGTTAAACTTTATATAGGATAAAATACAATAAAACATGTGCCCAATATGCTAACTAGGTGAATCAGGGTGGGATGAGGGAGTGGTTAAGGAGAGGTTAGTTCTCAATTGAAACTCAAGATAAGAAAAATCCCATTATTCAAGACAGCATCTGGTCCCAGACATCCTGGGCCCAGTAATAACAAACAGGAAGAATACTGATCAGCTCTATCTGGTCCTAGAATTTGCTTGACACAGGAAGGGGTGTTTTTAGTTCACTCAGAGAGAAAAGGATTAATTTAGGTTTTTGGCCCTTATTGGGGCTCAATTGATCTTAAATGATTATCAAGGGACAGTGTTTCTGAGGCTAGGGAGAAATTGGGGCCCAAGTACAAGCACCCAACCATAAGCACCCAAGCACCCCAACATCCCCACAGACATAGTCTACACTCCCTCTGAACCTTAGTTGACAGTCTTCATGGGTTGATGTGGCCAAAAATGTTCATCAGTTGGTAGACAACTGTATTGTTCGAGCAGCTTCTCTAAATGTCACTTAGCTTGGTACTGCAAACCCACACTCACAACCTTTCCAGATGGTAGAACCTGCTAGAGCTGGCTTTCTGATGGCATGGACTTAGAGGATCTAGGGTCAGTCCCACACCACAAAGTGGTATTGGAGTAGAATTTGAATGGATGTCTCGGCCCTCTTGTACTTCCTAAATTAAAGAAAATACTCTCTCCTCCTGCAGGTGAGCGAGATGGAAGTCAATGGTCAGTTTGAGTCTGTGTGTGAGTCTGTATTCAGTGAACTGGAATCTCAAGCTGTAGAAGCTCTGGACCTGCCAATGCCAGGATGTTTCCGCATGAGGAGCCATAGCTATGTGAGGGCAATTGAGAAGGGCTGTTCCCAGGATGATGAATGTGTGTCCCTGAGGTCTTCATCCCCACCCCGAACAACCACCACCGTGAGGACCATTCAGAGCAGCACTGGTAAGGAACAAGGGAACAAAGTGGGGATCAGCTCAAAGCTGGGGTTGACTGATTACCTCACAAAGCTGGTGAGGCAAATTCATAGGACTCCAGACTGGAAGACGTGACTTAGAAACCTAGTGCCTGGGATGCACTTGGACAAAGGCAAACTTTGACTCTTGAATAGTCCAACACCCACTTGTGCTGATGAAATATTCTGTTGGTCCAAATGATCTTAATATCTGGAATTTTTGTTTGGGATCATTTTCATTTTTTTAAATAGTTCCCTTCTTCTAAAAGAGATGTTGGTACCGAAACATTGCTTCTCAGTCTAAAGCTCTGCTTCCCCCACAACTCATCTCCCCTTCCCTCTCTGAGTCCTTTCACCCTCACTGCCCACTTTAATCACAGTGTCAAACCTAGGGTGAAAGGATTATCAGAGTATAGTGTATGTGGGAAGGTCTTTCAAAATTCTACAAATACAGCTCATACCTGTTAACAAGAGTTAATAATGCCAATCCCTCAATTCCGTCTTTGATTTGAAAAAAAAGAAAAAAGAAAAAGAAGAGGTCACCTAAATGTGTGGGTCTGTTTTGCTTGACTGTGCTTCTTTGTTATAACAATAGTTGTTTTGTTTTGTTTTTTCTCTAATTGGGGAGGAGGAGCTACAGGGGCTTAAAAATAAATTAATTAAATAATGATCACCTTAAAGGTACTATGCTTTGGCACACCTGAACCCTTGACCATATGTTTTCTTTCACAAAATGTCAATGTTTTTTCATTCTCTGGATAGAAAAGACTTACTCGGAACTCAGTAGAACCAAATAGGGGGACCAGAAAACAAGAGCTAAGGAAATGATAAAGGAATTTTGTTTCTGAGTGTTGCAGGTTTTATTTTATTATGATAGAAGGCATATTCATTTCAGTATTATTTTATTTAAAAGCATCTGATCTCATTAAAAAAAAAAAGGACCTCTCCTTTCCCACTATACTACATCCAGGTGGTGACTATTAAACTGTATTTTTTTTATTGGTAGTTCTTAGCCACTGAGGCCATAAAAGGAGCTTAACTGGTTACTGTGACACCTGAGCCCACTACAGAAATGGAGCCGTGAGTTACTGTATGAACACATTAGAAGTCTGTGTGTTTGTTTATGTAACACATGGGTTCCCAAAAGAAAATCTACCATGTCTTAAATAGACGTACCTTATAACTAAATCCCTGGTAACTTAGATGGGAGTAACATTCTACAGGAACCTGAGAGAAATAATAAATGAGCGAGGAGAGGTCCAGAGCCAGAATGTTGCATTATTTGCTATGACAATTTCATTAATTATCTCTATTCATCACTAGAACTCATCTAGAATCTTCTGTGCACTTGAAAAAAAGTATGTTGATGAACCTAAGTAAATTATTACTCAATCAGAAAGACTCAGGATTAAAGGTGTACTTGATGAAGCCTCAGGTGATTGGATACTGGGAGTTCCATCATCTTGTACCAACACAAACTAAGGTGTTGGGTCAAAAGTAGTCAGGGTTGGCCGCTGCCAATGATTTCTGCAACATCTTATATTATGTTTTAGGGTGGTAACCAGATAATCATTTTTGACAACCATTCTGCCTTGGCAGGAGGATTGTCAGAGGGTGAGTGCTCAACAGCAGGCCCACTGGTCAAAGAGGATGTAACCTCTTCGTTCAGCAGACAAAATTTTGGCCTGGACCTCCGCAGATGACTGAATTCATTCCTGACATTGATGGGTCCAGATGCACATTTTTGCTTTAAAGGGGAATTCAGAGGCAAAAACCACAAAAGTTATTTCTGAGCAAAACAAGACTCATTTCTGAAAAGGAAAAATCAAAAACTAAACCATTCCTGGGCATATTTGTGCACATATGTTTGTTTGTGCAATAAATGTGGTCTCAAAGGCTTAAGAAGAGTTACTGCTGTTCCAGTGTACTGTCTCTTACCTTACAGCAGTGTTCTCCCCATGTCTCTGTCCATACCCTCTTGTAAGGCTTCCATTGCATTCTACTAGTTCTCTCTTTTTTGACTCTTTCCCAGGGTCTCTGATCAGTGTCTTCTTGTGCCCCTCATTCCCAGGACCAACATTCGTGGCTGGGTCCAGATAGAGCCTGGATTGCCTAGGGCTCCTGATATTAAAAGTAGCCATAAGGACTGAGTAGGGCCGGAAATTAGGATGTCGTCTTCTTCCACTAGACATTAAGGGTTTGACTGTATCTTGGAGTAGGACAGTAGGAGGTACAAGATGAAATTAGTGAAAGGAATACAAAGGTGACTTCATCACCTACACCCCATGGTCCACCTCTTTGACAACAAGCTGTGTGGCCAGACTGGCTTGAAGCTCTGTTCTAAGCTTTGAAGCCCTTGGGAAGGCTAGACAAGACTTGGATGCGTCTGAGGTGGGAAAAAACATATAGCCCATACAAATCGTCATCTGTACATTCATTAATGGAAGGGGGATGAAGCACAACTCTTATGGACTTGGTGATAACTCTCACCCTGAACATTGTCATCATATATATATAACACCCTGGTCTTTTCTGTGATTTTGTGATTCCAGGGGAAAAGGTACTAGAAAATGAAATCTATATAATCTACACATTAAGGAGCTGGCACTTATAAAGTCTAAGTAATCTAATCAGACATTTGAGCTATAATTCAGATGTCACTCAATTAGTGCATCTCTATTCCATGAGCCACCCAAAAAGAACTCTTTCTTATGACAGTTCCCATGCATTTATAAAGAATTTCCTCATGTGCACACTCCCGTGCACGCCTATTAATTGTGAAAGTTGGCTGGTTAGTTGGTTGTTGTCCTTCATTCTTGAAAAGGAAAAAAAGTGACATCGCTGTGTTGGGGGTTAATGTACAATGTTAGACTGTGGCTGATCAGACCAGTACAAGCTCAGAATGCTGAAGTGAAAGCATGTGCTAAACTTGAAACAACTGGGCCTTAATTATTCCACCACTCACTAGCTGTGTGACATTGGGTAAGTCACTTTATTTCTCTGATCCTCAGCTTTCTCACGTGTAAAATGGGATGGTAGCACTTGTGCTACCCTTCCCCATAGGATTGTTGTGAGGAAAGTACTTTCTTTGTAAATCAAAAATACTAAAGTGATTCATTTGTGTTTTTCATCCATTAGTCTCCTGCCTAAACCCTGTCTGCTACAATGTGCTGTTTTTATCACTCCTTGAAGCTCAGAGGAAAGCACAGAAAATACATAAATTAGCTTCAGGTCCTACTTATTCCCTGAAAGAAGTGCTCATCTATGAAAAGAGGGAAATGCTTTTTACTTTTTCCTAAATTGGTTTTTGTGTTTTTGTTTTTGTTTCTCTTTCCTGTGCACAGGTCTCAATGTCTTCAAGATTTAGTGGGGCTTAATCCTGATTTCTCCTTTTAGCTATCTTTCCTCCCACCATATTCATTTACTTCTTATTATATATCTTATTTGTCCTGAACCACTCCTACTCTTCTTTTGTCATGCTGAAGGTCTCTTCTTTTACCAATGCCTGTATAGCAGTTAAAATTCCCCCTTAGAGCTATCCACATTCCATGTTCTTTAACCTTGATCTTTGTGGCAATTATCTGTTCCAATATCCTGACAAAATGTGCTTTTCAACCTTTCTCTATTGACGTCCTCATCTCCTCCTACTAGAGAAATATGACCAACAAAAAGTATACAAGGGTAGAGAAGTATTTTAATAATGACTATTTATTTGGTGCCAGCTCATACTGGTTCAAGAGAGCTCATTGTTAAATTTTCTGTGTGAGCATTTGTACCTCAGAAATCAACACACACTACAAATCAGGGGTTGATTTATTGCTTTGTTCATTGTCTAGACTTAAGAGAGAAGAAAATGTTAATAATAATGCAGATTAAACTTTAAAATGTGTCATACATACTTTTTGTTTTGAAAGCCAATTGCCTTTTACCAGCATATCACTGATGAGAGTTCATTTTTATATAGCCTCTGTTTAGCTTATGAAAGTGCTTACCTTTCAAGAGCACTAAAAAGAGGGTAGTACAAGAAGTAGTATTTCCCATTTTATTGCTGAAAAATTGAGGTTCAAAGAGGTAATGATTTGCCTACTCTTATTGGACTAATTGAGATTCAACTTCAGGTTTTGTGAGTCATCAAGGGACAGAGGATAAAGGGCTAGATGTAGAGTCAGAGGACCAGAGTTTGTCTCTGCTACTTACCAGTTGTGTGACCTTGGGTAAGTCATTCAACATCTGTAGGCTTCAGTTTCCTCTTCTGTAAAATGAGGTTGGCTAGATAGCCTTTAAGTTTTTTTTCTTCTCAAGATCTATAGTCCCATGGCTCAAAGTCCAGGGCTTTTTTCACCATAAGATGCCATCTCTCATGATGTAAGTTCTAAATTAACCTTGTGAACCCCTCAGCTATTATCAGGTGAATGAGAATTTAAGAGCATTTCATTTAAGTAGGAGCAAATTAAGAGCTGAACTGGAAAATTAATTACCACTATACTTGCTTTGATTTATTTGCTTTCTGACTTAATGTTAACTGTATTTAATAGAATCGCAGATTCTCTCTGAGCCTAAAATCAGCTTTAAGCATGAGAATCCCACTACCCAACCCATCTCCCACTTCCCCTAGTTGCCAAAGCAATTTTTTTCAGAGTTTTTTTATTCATTCAATTAATATGTATTGAGTGCCTAAGTAAGACATACTCTGTGTAAGACTAGGCCCTTTTATGATAAAGCATATTGCTTTTTTAAGTGTTGCGTCCATGATGTCATAATTGCTTATTAAGAAAATCATTAGAAAGTGTTTAAAGTAAAAGTACAATTTCTGCTGTAGAAAAAGATGAAAGGGAAGAAACTGAAGTTACCACAATACTTTGGCACCTGAAGGATCTGTGGTTCCCCAGTGCGGGCAGTTCCTCCACCAGTATAGATTACAATCCTTTTATGCCTCAGTCAATAGTTTAAAGAATTGTTTTGAGGGGAGAATTTGGAACTCAAATTTATT